TGTCTGTTGGAAAACAGACAGAACCAGGTTTTCCTCTAGGATTTTGCGTGTGCTTAGCTCTATTCCATTTATTTTCATCCTAAATAACTCTCTAGTCCTTGCCGATGACAAGCATACCCATAACATGATGCAACCACCACCATGCTTGAAAATATGAAGAGTGGGACTCAGTGATGTGTTGTTGGATTTGCCCCGAACATAACACTTTGTCTAAAGGACATACAGTGGGGAGAACAAGTATTTGATACACTGCCGATTTTGCAGGTTTTCCTACTTACAAAGCATGTAGAGGTCTGTAATTTGTATCATAGGTACACTTCAACAGTGAGAGACTCCAGAAAATCACATTGTATGATTTTTAAGTAATTAATTTGCATTTTATTGCATGACATAAGTATTTGATACATCAGAAAAGCAGAACTTAATATTTGGTACAGAAACCTTTGTTTGCAATTACAGAGATCATACGTTTCCTGTAGGTCTTGACCAGGTTTGTACACACTGCAGCAGGGATTTTGGCCCACTCCTCCATACAGACCTTCTCCAGATCCTTCAGGTTTCGGGGCTGTCGCTGGGCAATACGGACTTTCAGCGACCTCCAAAGATTTTCTATTGGGTTCAGGTCTGGAGACTGGCTAGGCCACTCCAGGACCTTGAGATGCTTCTTACAGAGCCACTCCTTAGTTGCCCTGGCTGTGTGTTTCGGGTCGTTGTCATGCTGGAAGACCCAGCCACGACCCATCTTCAATGCTCTTACTGAGGGAAGGAGGTTGTTGGCCAAGATCTCACGATACATGGCTCCATCCATCCTCCCCTCAATACGGTGCAGTCGTCCTGTCCCCTTTGCAGAAAAGCATCCCCAAAGAATGATGTTTCCACCTCCATGCTTCCCGGTTGGGATGGTGTTCTTGGGGTTGTACTCATCCTTCTTCTTCCTCCAAACACGGCGAGTGGAGTTTAGACCAAAAAGCTCTATTTTTGTCTCATCAGACCACATGACCTTCTCCCATTCCTCCTCTGGATCATCCAGATGGTCATTGGCAAACTTCAGACGGGCCTGGACATGCGCTGGCTTGAGCAGGGGGACCTTGTGTGCGCTGCAGGATTTTAATCCATGACGGCGTAGTGTGTTACTAATGGTTTTCTTTGAGACAGTGGTCCCAGCTCTCTTCAGGTTATTGACCAGGTCCTGCCGTGTAGTTCTGTGTTGATCCCTCACCTTCCTCATGATCATTGATGCCCCACGAGGTGAGATCTTGCATGGAGCCCCAGACCGAGGGTGATTGACCGTCATCTTGAACTTCTTCCATTTTCTAATAATTGCACCAACAGTTGTTGCCTTCTCACCAAGCTGCTTGCCTATTGTCCTGTAGCCCATCGCAGCCTTGTGCAGGTCTACAATTTTATCCCTGATGTCCTTACACAGCTCTCTGGTCTTGGCCATTGTGGAGAGGTTGGAATCTGTTTGATTGAGTGTGTGGACAGGTGTCTTTTATACAGGTAACGAGTTCAAACAGGTGCAGTTAATACAGGTAATGAGTGGAGAACAGGAGGGCTTCTTAAAGAAAAACTAACAGGTCTGTGAGAGCCGGAATTCTTACTGGTTGGTAGGTGATCAAATACTTATGTCATGCAATAAAATGCAAATTAATTACTTAAAAATCATACAATGTGATTTTCTGGATTTTTGTTTTAGATTCCGTCTCTCACAGTTGAAGTGTACCTATGATAAAAATTACAGACCTCTACATGCTTTGTAAGTAGGAAAACCTGCAAAATCGGCAGTGTATCAAATACTTGTTCTCCCCACTGTAGTTAATTTCTTTGCCACATTCTTTGCAGTTTTACTTTAGCGCTTTATTGAAATCAGGATGCATGTTTTGGAAAAATTTTGTTCTCTGCAGCAGGGTTCCACAATTTGGTGGTTTTATTTGGCCCCCCAAGTTTTCATTTTTATATTTTATATTTTCGGACATAAAATACTGTAAAAACACTAGGAAATCAGCTCCAAGTGATTTTAATTTAGGGAATCTGTTCCCAAGTATTCCCACGCATAGTAGAGAGACACGTGATCGTATACAAATGTAAGAAATGTTTGAAATTATGGTTTTAATCAAATATTATATAGGCCCATGGCTGAATCTAGTTGATGATCCCTGCTCTACAGGCTTCCTTCTTTTCACTCTGTCATTTAGGTTAGTATTGTGGAGGAACTACAATGTTGATGATCCATCCTCAGTTGTCTTCTATCACAACCATTAAACTCTGTAAATCCCTGAGCGGTTTCCTTCCTCTCCGACAACTGAGTTGGGAAGGACACCTGTATCTTCGTAGTGACTGGGTGTGTTGATACACCATCCAAAGTGTAATTAATAACTTCACCATGCTCAAAGGGATTTTCAATATATGCTTTTTTACCAATAGGTGCCCTTCTTTGCGAGGCATTGGAAAACCTCCCAGGTCTTTGTGCTTGAATTTGTGTTTGAGATTCACTGCTTGACTGAGGGACCATACAGATTAATTGCATGTGTTGGGTACCGAGATGAGGTAGTCATTCAAAAATCATGTTAAACACTATTATTGCACATAGAGTGAGTCGAGGCAACTTTTTATGTGACTTGTTAAGCAAATGTTTACTCCTGAACTTATTTAGGCTTGCCATAACAAAGGGGTTGAATACTTATTGACCCAAGACATTTCAGCTTTGTAAGAATTTCTAAAAGCATAATTCCACTTTGACATTATGGGGTATTGTGTGTGTGTGTAGGCCAGTGACACAAAATCTAAATGTAATCCATTTTTTTATTCAGGCTAACAACAAAATGTGGAAAGAGTCAAGGGGTGTGAATACTTTCTGAAGGCACTGTACATTGTGGAGTTGAAAAACACGGCAAAAAAACCCAGTACCCCTATAACCTGACTGACTGTATTTACTCAGAATGGATTGTTATTAAGTGGAAGGGAATTTCCCTATATTCTTCTTTCCTTAAAAAAAATCTGACAATGCAAAAAGAGTAAATACAGTTTTATTTGTCACATGCTTCGTAAGCGACAGATGTAGACTAACAGTGAAATGCTTACTTATTTGTCACATGCTTCATAAATAACAAGTGTAGACTAACAGAGAGATGCTTACTTATGGGCCCTTCCCAACAATGCAGAGAGAGAAATTGAATAATAATAGAAAAATAATAACACGATAAATAAATACACAATGAGTAACGATAACTTGGCTATTTACACGGGGTACCAGTACCGAGTTGATGTACAGGGGTATGAGGTAATTGAGGTAGATATGTACATAAACACTACATGGCCAAAAGTATGTGGACATCCCTTCAAATTTGTGGTTTCGGCTATTTCAGCCATACCCGTTGCTGACAGGTGTATAAAAACCTTGGCAGTAGAATGGCCCTTACTGAAGAGCTCAGTAACTTTCAACGTGGCACAGTCATAGAATGCCACCTTTCCAACAAGTCTGTTCATCAAATTTCTGCCCTGCTAGAGCTGCCATGGCCAACTGTAAGTGCTATTATTGTGAAGTGAAAACGTCTAGGAGCAACAATGGCTCGGCCGTGAAGTGGTAGGCCACAAGCTCTCACAGAACAGGACCGCTGAGTGCTGAAGCGCGTAACGTGTAAAAATCAACTGTCCTTGGTTGCAACACTCACCACGAGTTCCAAACTGCCTCTGGAAGCAATGTCAGCACAATAACTGTTTGTAGGGAGCATCATGAAATGGGTTTCCATGGCCGAGCAGCCGCACACAAGCTTAAGATCACCATGCGCAATGCCAAGAGTCGGCTGGAGGGGTGTAAAGCTTGCCGCCATTGGACTCTGGAGCAGTGTTCTCTGGAGTGATGAATCACGCTTCATCCATCTGGCAGTCCGACGGACAAATCTGGATTTGGTGGATGTGCCAGGGGAACGCTAGCTGCCCGACTGCATAGTGCCGACTGTAAAGTTTGGTGGAGGAGGAATAATGGTCTGGGGCTGTTTTACATGGTTCGGGCTAGGCCCCTTAGTTCCAGTGAAGGGAAATCTTAATGCTACAGCATACAATGACATTCTAGACGATTCTGTGCTTCCAACTTTGTGGCAACAGTTTGGGGAAGGCCCTTTCCTGTTTCAGCATGACAATGCCCCCGTGCACAAAGCGAGGTCCATACAGAAATGGTTTGTTGAGACCGGTGTGGAAGAACTTGACTGGCCTGCACAGCGCCCTGACCTCAACCCCATCGAACACCTTTGGGATGAATTAGAACGCCGACTGCGAGCCAGGCCTAATCGCCTAACATCAGTGCCCGACCTCACTAATGGTCTTGTGGCTGAATTGAAGCAAGTCCCTGCAGCAATGTTCCAACATCTAGTGGAAAGCCTTCCCAGAAGAGTGGAAGCTGTTATAGCAGCAAAGGGGGGACCAACTCCATATTAATGCCCATTATTTTGGAATGAGATGTTCGATGAGCAGGTGTCCACATACTTTTGGCTATGTAGTGTAGGTAGGGGTAAAGTGATTAGGCAACAGGATAGATAATAAACAGTAGCAGCAGCGTATGTGATAAGTCAAAATAGTGCAAAAATGGTCAATGCAGATAGTCCGGTTAACTATTTAGCAGTCTACTGGCTTGGGGGTAGAAGCTGTTCAGGGTTCTGTTGGTTCCAGACTTGGTGCATCAGTATCGCTTGCTGTGTGGTAGCAGAACAGTCTATGACTTGTGGTCAGATGTCAAGCAGTTGCCATACCAAGCGGTGATGCAGCCAGTCAAGATGCTCTCAATGGTGCAGCTGTATAACTTTTTGAGGATCCGAGGGCCCATGACAATTATTTTCAGCCTCCTGAGGGGAAATGACTCACATCAACATCATGACTCACATGTATGAGTCACACCTTTGTTCAGTCAACAAAACATATTCAGAAATTCGTTGCTACTGTGATTTTAATTTGATGGATGGATAGAGTATGCTTTTCCTTTAATGAAATCATTTAACCCTACAGGTACACATGGACGCCACTGTGCGGGTTGCGGGGAAACGATTCAAGACACCATCAATGTGAAGGTTCTGCAAGGAACTTGGCACAATGCCTGTTTTCAGTAAGTCATACTTTTTAAATGTGGATTTCAGTTATATTCACTGTTTAATTTATTTAATTGACAATTTATTGTAGGAATCACTTACTGTCTGCACAAGGCATGTGAACTGCTTTGACATTAAATAAGTAGCATTGAAGTCAATAGAGACAATGGACAGTTTTGCTGGTCAACATACAGCTTTTGACAATTTCAGGTATTCTTTGGGGACAAATACTGTATGCACATGCTAAGAAATTGACTTGTGGGTAGTCCTAGAGAATTCTACCTGTCCTGTGGAATGTTTAAGCATAAATTTGGGCAGGAATGTCTCTGTTCAGTGTTCAAACTATTCTACAGTGAGGCAGAACTCCATTACAGTACATATTGAAAATCCAGTCAGTCACTCAAATCCCATTTGCAGATACCACCATTCTACTTTTTTTTCTTCAAACCATTGTAGTTAGAAGTTAGTACAACAAGTTAACAACTTTGAGGTAGTAGATGTTTGTCATCCTTTTGCCTATTAAAGGTGGAAAATAATAGACATGAGGCATCACTCGCACTTGAATTAGCATGGGTCACAGGGACACAGTGGGAGGAGGATCCCACCAGCTCTCTCTCCGGCCTTGAGGACTTTGGCCCTGGCAGTTTCTCTTCGTCCTGTGGCTTAGTCATTGTCAGGATTGAGACTATCTGGCATTCTCCGGTCACTGGCCCCCAGTGAGAACCGTCTAGACTTGGGCTGAACAGAGGTCAATAGTATAGGACCTATGTACAGACGCTTAAACAAAAACAATTTTTAGCTCCCAAAGCTCTCTTTGTGAAATACGATCACTCAGGTTTGACTTTCCTTGAAGAGAATATATGGATATGATGATGGCGCTTTAGTTAGATAAGCAGTCCAAGAATGGACCGGTCATGGTCTAGATGACAATGTGCCCCACAGGGTTTTTGTGGAAGGGGAAGCTGGGATTGAGGGTCGAGTCATGGCAGCTCTGTTAATATAATGAGGAGAAGGAGTGTATTTCTCACACTCACTGTGCCCATCCAGCACACAACGTTACGTAACATGAATGAAAGAATAGAACTGATGAATAGTTTAATGGAACTGAATAGAGTAGAGCTATTTTTCTAGAGCTCTGAATTCCCCCTGAATATAATACGTTAATCTATACGTTAATCTATTTTTTTAAATTAAAATGTAACTTAAGATAAAGGAATAAAGCCTAAGATGAGGTGAATTTGGCATCCTATCATTTCCGAGTACGTCTCCCTTGAGTGGAAGGGGCTTGACATCTGAGTGTTCCTTAGCCCAAGTACTCAAATTTCAAACAAAGCTTTTCAGCTACACCATTTCCTTATAGAACCCAAGATTTGGGTCTCTTTCTCTATTTCTATAATTGGCTCTTTTATATCACCACTGAACCTTGTGTCAGTTCAAAAGCCAAGTCCTTGATACAGCTGTGCAGTTCTCACTCTCTCGCTGTCTGTCTGTCTCTGGGCATTTCCATGTAAAAAGCCCCATGAGCACTTAACATATGAAGTTCATAGGAGCACATCCAATTTGGTGAATAATGAAAGCTAAGAGTCTATATTTTTCTTAAATTAAGGCATATACAGTGGCTTGCGAAAGTATTCACCCCCCTTGGCATTTTTCCTATTTTGTTGCCTTACAATCTGGAATTAAAATTGATTTTATGGGGGGTTTGTATCATTTGATTTACACAACATGCCTACCACTTTGAAGATGCAAAATATGTTTTATTGTGAAACAAACAAGAAATAAGACAAAAAAAACAGAACTTGAGCGTGCATAACTATTCACCCCCCCCCCCCCAAAGTCAATACTTTGTAGAGCTACCTTTTGCAGCAATTACAGCTGCAAGTTTCTTGAGGTATGTCTCTATAAGCTTGGCACATCTAGCCACTGGGATTTTTGTCCATTCTTCAAGGAAAAACTGCTCCAGCTCCTTCAAGTTGGATGGTTCCGCTGGTGTACAGCAATCTTTAAGTCATACCACATATTCTCAATTGGATTGAGGTCTGGGCTTTGACTAGGCCATTCCAATACATTTAAATGTTTCCCCTTAAACCACTTGAGTGTTGCTTTAGCAGTATGCCTAGGGTCATTGTCCTGCTGGAAGGTGAACCTCCGTCCCAGTCTCAAATCTTTGGAAGACTGAAACAGGTTTCCCTCAAGAATTTCCCTGTATTTAGCACCATCCATCATTCCTTCCATTCTGACCAGTTTCCCAGTCCCTGCCGATGAAAAACATCCCCACAGCATGATGCTGCCACCACCATGCTTCACTGTGGGGATGGTGTTCTCGGGGTGATGAGAGGTGTTGGGTTTGCACCAGACATAGCGTTTTCCTTGATGGCCAAAAAGCTCAATTTTAGTCTCATCTGACCAGAGCACCTTCTTCCATATGTTTGGGGAGTCTCCCACATGGCTTTTGGTGAACACCAAACGTGTTTGCTTATTTTTTTCTTTAAGCAATGGCTTTTATCTGACCACTCTTCCGTAAAGCCCAGCTCTGTGGAGTGTATGACTTAAAGTGGTCCTATGGACAGATACTCCAATCTCCACTGTGGAGCTTTGCAGCTCCTTCAGGGTTATCTTTGGTCTCTTTGTTGCCTCAGATTAATGCCCTCCTTGCCTGGTCTGTTAGTTTTGGTGGGTGGCCCTCTCTTGGCAGGTTTGTTGTGGTGCCATATTCTTTCCATAAAAAAAAAATGGATTTAATGGTGCTCTGTGGGATGTTCAACGTTTCAGATATTTTTTTATAACCCAACCCTGATCTGTACTTCTCCACAACTTTGTCCCTGACCTGTTTGGAGAGCTCCTTGGTCTTCATGGTGCCGCTTGCTTGGTGGTGCCCCTTGCTTAGTGGTGTTGCAGACTCTGGGGCCTTTCAGAACAGGTGTGTGTATATATACTGAGATCATGTGACAGATCATGTGACACTTAGATTGCACACAGGTGGACTTTATTTAACTAATTATGTGACTTCTGAAGGTAATTGGTTGCACCATATTTTATTTAGGGACTTCATAGCAAAGGGGGTGAATACATATGCACGCACCACTTTTCGGTTATTTATTTTGTATAAGTTATTTCTTTCATGTCACTTCACAAATTTGGACTATTTTGTGTATGTCCATTACATGAAATCCAAATAAAAATCCATTTAAATTACAGGTTGTAATGCAACAAAATAGGAAAAACGGCAAGGGGGATGAATACTATTGCAAGGCACTGTATACATTGTTCAACCATTTTCCATCCTATAAATTTGGATTAAGCAAAGGCTTTGATTTCTGGTCAAACATATGGAAAAGGGGTCTTAGAAAACATCTAGCAGAAAGTCAAATTTCACATTTCTCTCCCTCATGAGGAGGGAGGATAATGGAAGTTCACAGAAGTAACAAGGTAGACCTACTAATTAGTTATTGTTTTTACTGATAACATTTTGGTTGATGATTTATTAAATTATTTAAAATGATCCATTCTGTTACTAAATCGGTAACAGAATGAGTGTTTAAAAACAGCAAGAGTGTAAAAACAGTCTGGACAACACCTCCCTGTCTCTCTTTTCTCTCTCTCTAGTTAATGTCACTGATACTTACCCATGAGCCCCCTCTCTTTCCCTTTACTGTGACCAGCCCTCTCACCCGCTGAGCACTGACCGACACCGGACATCCATGGACGTTGAAAAGTAGTTGCAATTTGGTCAGTCCAAATTTTAACCAATCATAGACGTCTATTTCACAAGTTTGGACAGTAGAGTATAGTACTGTACAGTGAAGAATAGAGTATCGGTCAGTACAATACTGTACTGTACAGTAGAGTTTAGTACAGTAGAGCACACTAGAGTACAGTCATTTACTGTACTGTACTGAACTATACTGTACTCTACTTTACTGTACTGGACTATACCGTACTCTGCTGTGCTGTAGTCTACTGTGCTCTGCTGTACTGTGATGTCCAAACTTTTAAAGTGAAAAATCAGTTTCGGCGTCATTCTGTTACTGTGGAATTGCCCTTTTGTCTCTCTCTCCCCCCTCCTTCTCTTTTACTGCTCTGTTTCTGCCCAAGACCACCTCACTCATTTTCTGTGAAATGAACTCTTTAGATGGAGCATCTGCTTTTGGAAAAACCTCCAAGCCAGACTACCGTACTGACGCTCAGCCAAGTGTGCTGGAGTTCAGCCCTCAGCAGTCAGATGGCGTAGCCCAAAATCTGGCCTATTTTCTGTTAATTTGAGTTGTACATGCATTTTGTCCATGGAGTACAGAATTCCTTTCACTCTCCATGTGGGACATTGTCAAAATTTAAAGCAACTACAGTAGTTTCCTTTTCCATGTTACCCCCTGCTCCGTTCTATTGTGCACACAGAGCCCTGCACCTCCCCCAAGTTGTACAGCATTGTTAAAGGCTGATGTTATCCCTGTTCCAGTAAAGCTGACGTTGTCAGGCCAACGTATAGGTAAAGACTAGACAGTGTGTTGTGTGCCCCACTGCCACATTCCTAGACAGCGATTCAGAGTCGTGGGCCCGCTGCTCCAGACACTGCACAGAGTCCTTTGTTTTTCCCAGGGAAAACTGGATCCTGGGTTGTCCCAAAGGACTGTCCTTTATGAGTCAATGTTAGTCCTCTAAAAGAGGTGAAGCCTTCTGGCTCAAGTCATAATTATAGTACTTTCCCCTCGTTAGTTGTCTGTGGGGTCCAATAATGTAACTTTGATGTGTTTGACTGTTACTCTCTGTTCACATTGGTTGCCTTCTGAAATGAATGTGTACTTTCACTTAGCCAATGATGATCCAGTGGCCCTGCTCTGGCTGGTTTGACTTGGTTTGGATACTCATGAGTCCCTTGATAACAGCCAAACCTGCATTGAACAATACCAACCATGAGTGCAATGTGTGCTATTGTGTTCCTGATATGCTCTTATTAAATCTTATCTTAGTTAGCTAACATTGAAAGTTTTACATATAGTCCATTAATACATATGATAAAGTTTGACAGGTTTCAGGTTAAGTTCCGTGTTATGGCATCTTGAACTAGTGTGTCTTGTTTCCATTACTACGACACTGCTTCCCCATAGGCCTAGTGCTTAGTGTCCGTTTTTTTAGCATTTTAGAAGAAACTTAAGTATGAATTCTAGTACACTCCAACAAAAGGCATTAAAGTTGGCCTTCCACTGGTAATGTGGAATTGAGGAAATGAAATAAGTAATGTTTGCCCATTGGTGTTTGTCTAATAAGGTTTGTCCATGGAATTGTTGGGAGGACCAGTCCTTCCTCTCATCTGAGACACATTTTTTATATTTTTTATTTCCTTTTTGGATAAGAAATGGCACCAGTGTTGTTTACTCTGCTGATTGAGGTGTTTTTAAGATCATCTTTGTTTTGGTCTTTAGACTATTTCTTCAGGGACATGACTGTGTAATCTTCAGTTATCCGTTACCCCCTACACTGGGATTGACCAACCCAATGTTTCTCATTGTTGTTTTGGAATGACAGAGAGGGAGGACACAGGAACCAGCCAAGGTTATGTTGTTCAGTTTTACAGTGAAAGTTGTTTTCCCTGCGGCATACCTGGAGCCGCTGTGTGACTCGTCTGTCTGAGGCAAGATATTCTTCATACTTGTCGCACACTTGTCTGTGTGTGTGTATTTCAGCATTGCCTCCTGTTTCTGTCCGTTTCCATGATTTGTTATAAAAACACTCACAATGATGGCAGAGGGGCTGCTCACAAATACTCACATGCAGTGCACGCCTAGCAAACAGACACCCATGAGTACACATGCAATATTCAGGTTTACTATCACATACAGTAGGACACTACTACTGACCACAGATTGGCTAGCAGACTAAACTGTTGCTCACAGACTCAGTAGTACAGAGGAGGAAAAAGACTAGTGTTTTTTTTAAATGCAGTTCCTTTTTTGTCACTTGTTTAGTCTCGTTTTGTAACCGGGGTGTATGGTCTCGTCAACATTCCGTCAGACAAAAGGCTCTAATTGGGCCTTAGGCCAAGTTCGGCCATTCCAAGGGCAGCGTTCCCTATTGTATACAGCGCTCCCCTCACTAATGTGATCTTTATCTGGACAGCCTTTCAGACCCCCTCTGCTTTTCCACGCCCGGAAATCTATTTTCCTGCTTACCTACAGTGAGGGAAAAACGTATTTGATCCCCTGCTGATTTTGTACGTTTGCCCACTGACAAAGACATGATCAGTCTATAATTTTAATGGTAGGTTTATTTGAACAGTGAGAGACAAAATAACAACAAAAAAATCCAGAAAAACGCATGTCAAAAATGTTATAAATTGATTTGCATTTTAATGAGGGAAATAAGTATTTGACCCCTCTGCAAAACTTGACTTAGTACTTGGTGGCAAAACCCTTGTTGGCAATCACAGAGGTCAGACGTTTCTTGTAGTTGGCCACCAGGTTTGCACACATTTCAGGAGGGATTTTGTCCCACTCCTCTTTGCAGATCTTCTCCAAGTCATTAAGGTTTCGAGCCTGACGTTTGGCAACTCGAACCTTCAGCTCCCTCCACAGATTTTCTATGAGATTAGGGTCTGGAGACTGGCTAGGCCACTCCAGGACCTTAATGTGCTTCTTCTTGAGCCACTCCTTTGTTGCCTTGGCTGTGTGTTTTGGGTCATTGTCATGCTGGAATACCCATTGACGACCCATTTTCAATGCCCTGGCTGAGGGAAGGAGGTTCTCACCCAAGCTTTGACGGTACATGGCCCCGTCCATCGTCCCTTTGATGCGGTGAAGTTGTCCTGTCCCCTTAGCAGAAAAACACCCCCAAAGCATAATGTTTCCACCTCCATGTTTGACGGTGGGGATGTTGTTCTTGGGGTCATAGGCAGCATTCCTCCTCCTCCAAACACGACGAGTTGAGTTGATGCCAAAGAGCTCGATTTTGGTCTCATCTGACCACAACACTTTCACCCAGTTCTCCTCTGAATCATTCAGGTGTTCATTGGCAAACTTCAGACGGGCCTGTATATGTGCTTTCTTGAGCAGGGGGACCTTGCGGGCGCTGCAGGATTTCAGTCCTTCGCGGCGTAGTGTGTTGCCAATTGTTTTCTTGGTGACTATGGTCCCAGCTGCCTTGAGATCATTGACAAGATCCTCCCATGTAGTTCTGGGCTGATTCCTCACTGTTCTCATGATCATTGCAACTCCACGGGGTGAGATCTTGCATGGAGCCCCAGGCTGAGGGAGATTGACAGGTCTTTTTGTGTTTCTTCCATTTGCGAATAATCGCACCAACTGTTGTCACCTTCTCACCAAGCTGCTTGGCGATGGTCTTGTAGCCCATTCCAGCCTTGTGTAGTTCTACAATCTTGTCCCTGACATCCTTGGAGAGCTCTTTGGTCTTGGCCATGGTGGAGAGTTTGGAATCTGATTGATTGATTGCTTCTGTGGACAGGTGTCTTTTATACAGGTAACAAACTGAGATTAGGAGCACTCCCTTTAAGAGTGTGCTCCTAATCTCAGCTCGTTACCTGTATAAAAGACACCTGGAAGCCAGAAATCTTTTTGATTGAGAGGGGGTCAAATACTTATTTCCCTAATTAAAATGCAAATCAATTTATAACATTTTTTACATGCGTTTTTCTGGATTTATTTGTTGCTATTCTGTCTCTCACTGTTCAAATAAACCTACCATTAAAATTATAGACTGATCATTTCTTTGTCAGTGGGCAAATGTACAAAATCAGCAGGGGATCAAATACTTTTTTCCCTCACTGTATTCTTGCTTTTATTTCTGTGTGTAGGCCGCATTTCCTCACACAATGCACCAGAAGCTATGAACCACCTCCATAAGGTTTAGCTAGTAATAAACATTGTGTGAAAGAATGAACCATTGTAAAAGGGAATTAACTTTCCTAATCTCCAGGAGTGGATTTTCTCCCCAAAGGCTGATAAATTGGGATCAGCTCTACTGCAGGTTCAGAGATCACTGTGACCCAGGCCAGCAGTGGGCAAAACTACAGCAAATCCCCAGACATGCAGGTGGTTGGCATATTTGTTAAGACTGTTACCTCAGTGTTTGTCTGTTGCCAGTGTATCGAGTGTCCTCCAGATGAATATCAGTCAGGATGCAGAACTGGCAACCTCTTCTTCACAGAGAGCTGTCTGTGTAAGTGGGTTGCCAGTTTAGTGGCCTAATCTCTTTGACAGAGGTGTAGAATTGATTGTGTGGCTGACACAGCTTAACCTGGTGCCACCATTTTGCATAACCTGTGAAACTATCTGAAGGTGCGCTCATAGCCTGCAGGTGGTCCCTTCTCTCTATGCAACTTCAGCATTCCTAACTCTCTGAACATTCCGTGACTAAGTCAGAGTCATACATTTCTGCCTGATTTGCCAGGTTTCACTCCAGTCAAGGATGTGGATCAATCTGCTCTTGAGTAGTGGCATGACAGGATAATTGTTATGTAAAAATAGGAAGGTTTTTGTACATTAACTTAATCAAATCAGTGTATTAACCACATTTTAATTTGATACACCTTCACCAGGCTGTAGATGGTTGTCAGGATTTCTGTCAGAAAGGTGCTTCAGCCTCTCCAGAAACAACTGGAACAAATTAAGATGCTGGAATGTGGCTGTGGATGGGGTGGGCTGAGGGCAGCCTTTGGTGTTGGTTGCTGGTATTTAGTACAAGGTTAATGACCAGTGTTTCACACCGTCTATTGCATATCGCTTCATTCTTCTCTGAATCCACATCCCTCACACACCAATGACACGTGACATGTCTGAGTAACAAGGTAACCTACGTCCTTTACATCGTACCCTGACGATCAGAGACAAGAGTGCACACAGTCATCCTAAAGAAAGGCCTGAAGCAACCGCTGCACTCCATTGCAACATGGGAGTGGAAAGTATAATGTTCACCAGTGTAATTTCTCACACGATGAATGGCTTCTGCTGCACTGTGTCTAAATGTGCCAGTCCCTCTCATTAAAGGATACTTTCACCTCCATACTCTCTTGGTTGGTTGAGGTTTGGTTGAGGGAAAGTGTACAGACAAGTCTGGTCAACTGTTTGGGCGTTGGTTAAACTATTTCCAATGTTACCTGACTTCAATCGCACACTAAGCGTATTTGTCTTTGTCAAATGCTGTTTTCTTTCAGGGTCTTTTGCTAGGTATTTCTGCTCTAGCGTTGTGTGTCTTGTTTATTTGTTTCTATATCTGTATGTCAAATCTCTCAGCTCAGTCAATAATTGAAAGCTCACAGACTCCTCCATTGTTTGAGAGTGGAATCTCTGCTAAATAGGAATCTTTCAGGAATCTAACACAAGCCTTTGAGATTGTCAACATGTCGTTGAAATGATACACCCAGGCTTTGTAGTGAGTCTCCTTTGAATCACCTTGAAACAGATTGCTCTACGCTTGATATGGTCTCTGCTGAAAGGATTTGTCTGTCCACTCTTCTCCCTTCATTTCCTGCAGAGGTCATGAAGTGTGTTTTCCCATCCACAGGTGCTCGGAATGCTGTGACCACCTGACCAACTGGTACTATGAGAAGAATGGCAAGCTGTACTGCCGTAAACACTACTGGGAGAGGTTTGGAGAGCTGTGTCACGGCTGCTCTCTGCTCATGATTGGACCTGCCATGGTGAGTTGCCCCGCTCCATCTTCCTCACCTCACTTGTCTGTAAACACTGAGACCAAGGTTTGTCATTTCCACATATTTATCTGTCTGAATTTGATCCTGGAGCGTCTGCACACCTGATCCGTGCTATCTCTGTGTGAAATCAAGATGAACCCTGGTTGACCCAGGATCCAGAGGATCAGGTATTATGATGCAGTAGGCTTCTAGCTTGGTTCACTTAGATCTCATGGAACATGAAGACGACAGTGTTGGTGAAGAACAGTTAGACAATGACAAAGCTGTACATCATATAATATATGAATAATAATTCACTGTCAGGGTTACCATTGTATTCAGAGGTTAGATGTGTAGGTCCATACTCAAATAACACCAGTTCACAGTGAATCACTATTCTTTGATATGAGTTCAGGGGGTTGTGCAGTAATAAGATCTGCTTTTCTCTGTGTACAAATGAGGGAACTGTCAGCTTTACCCCCCCCCCCCCCCCAGTGTGTTAGTTAGGTTCCCCATCATGGCCCCGCTCTGTTCTCCTCTGTACAGTCTCCACAGTTTACTTCCCCCAGAACATAGTGAACTTTTGAGGGAAAACAGAGAACATGGAGTGATTTTGGAGCCAGTCCATCACCTGATTCAGTCCACTGTGGTGGAAAGGCAATGGATACTACCCACACTGCATCACCAGTCCACCACCAGACCACTACACTGTTTATTGGGGATGGTTTTTGAAAGATCGAGTATCTGTTATTAAGGGAAGGTTAGAATGTTTAAGCTTGATTGCGTTTGTCAAAATCTTCCAGGATTAGACCATGAGCTCATGGTTATGCTATGGAAGAGTCGCTGAAGGCTGGATATCGGTTAGCTTTCTTGTTGTTTCATCAGTGCTATGGAATGCCCATGCATGGGGTTGGAGTGCTGTGGAACTTCATTTTAACAGTGTTATGGGCACAATTAAATCAGGTCTAAATACAACTGCTGATGGCACAAACAATTGCTGGTCACAAAAGGATAATTTCTCTTCAACTGGATTAAAGTGGGTCCCAAAATTATTCTTTTTTTAGAACAAGAAGGTTGCCAGTAAGCAAAATACATAATGGGCCTTTCTATTTGTTCTTGGCCACATTGGCTCTGAAAGCAAGGTGCCAAGTATTTCTGGCAGAGTTGAATTGGCAGCCTTCTCTTAGCTAGCAGCCGAACCAACACGGCGTAAAATCGTATGGATGTTGGGTCTCTCAGGAGAGGAGAGCAGTGTGGAGCAGGCAGCTACTTATGGCTGTTGTGTGTTTGCGGGGCAGGCTACGGCACAAAACAGCATTTTGTTCTCTAATTAGGAGATCGTGGCATACCATTTTTCCTTTCTGTTTGCCTACTTTTCTCTGTGGCTGGACACGTTTTACAGTTCTGACACAAGTTGTAAATCCTCTCAAATTTTACCACTTTTGAAGATCCTTCTTTTGTTCCCTTTATTTTGGTGAGATGGGAAAATGAACAGAGATCAACTCCAGTGTGTTGTGTAAGGCAATGCGGAGACATTGCCTCTGGAGTCATGTTGGTCATACACATACACACTAGCCTCCCCTATCTGAGAGAGCCTGCACACACACAGCCACCTATGGACTATGACACAGCCATGTGTGTCTAGCTGGGGCTCCTTCAGGCTGTTTCTGTCTGGGGTCAGTGTGGTAATGCTCCAGTCTGGAGGGAGGGAGGCACAGCCACACATGGCTTACATCACCCAGCCTAATCTCACTGCTGCCTGCAACAGCAACAATATCCTTTCCCAACACTCTTACTCATAGCAGCCGACAATGAAGAGCAGGGGGAGAATGGAAAAAGTTATCCTACTTCAAAGACTACAGGTTTTCATTAATATCTTCACATTGCTTATAAGTTATCCCTGTTTGAATTCATCTGGGGAGGAGCTTGTCTTAAGACTCCCATCTCACATCAGGGTGAAGGAAAAGCAGCCAACAAGTGCTCAGCGTATGTGGGAACTCCTTCAAGACTGTTGGAAAAGCATTCCAGATGAAGCTGGTTGAGAGAATGCCAAGAGTGTGCAAAGCTGTCATCAAGGCAAAGGGTGGCTACATTGAAGAATCTAAAATAAATGTTGATTTCTTAATGCTTTTTTGGTAACTACATGATTCCATATGTGTTATAACATTGTTTTGATGTCTACATTATTATTCTACAAGGTAGAAAATAGTAAAAATAAAGAAACCCTTGAATGAATAGGTGTGTTCAAACTTTTGACGGGTACTGTATGTATGTATGTATGTATGTATATACAATACCAGTCAAACCATCTCAATTGGGTTGAGGTTAGGGGATTGTGGAGGCCAGGTCATCTGATGCAGCACTCCATCACTCTCCTTCTTGGTAAAATAGCCCTTACACAGCCTGGAGGTGTGTTGGGTCATTGTCCTGTTGAAATACAAATGATAGTCCCACGAAGCCCAAACCAGATGGGATGTCTGCTAAATGATGTAAATGTAAATGGCTTATCGCTGCAGAATGCTGTGGTAGCCATGCTGGTTAAGTGTGCCTTGAATTCTAAATAAATCACAGACATTGTCACCAGCAAATCACCCCCACACCATAACACCACCTCCTCCATGCTTCGTGGTAGGAACTACACATGCGGAGATCATCCGTTCACCCACACCGCGTCTCACAAAGACACGGCGGTTTGAACCAAAAATCTCAAATTTGGACTCCAGACCAAAGGACACCTTTCCACTGGTCTAATGTTCATTGCTTGTGTTTCTTGGCCCAAGCAGGTCTCTTCTTATTATTGGTGTCCTTTAGTCGTGGTTTCTTTGCAGCAATTTGACCATGAAGGCCTGATTCACACGGTCCCCTCTGAACAGTTGATGTTGAGATGTATGTTACTTGAACTCTGTGAAGCATTTATTTGGGCTGCAATCTGAGGCTGGTATCTCTAATGAACTTATCCTCTGCAGCAGAAGTAACTCTGGGTCTTCCATTCTTGTGGCGGTCCTCATGAGAGCCAGTTTCATCATAGCGCTTGATGGTTTTTGCGACTGCACTTGAAGAAACTTTCAAAGTTCTTGAAATGTTCCGTATTGACTGACCTTCATGTCTTAAAGTAATGATGGACTGTCGTTTCTCTTTGCTTATTTGAGCTGTTCTTGCCATAATATGGACTTGGTCTTTTACCAAATAGGGCTATCTTCTGTATACCACCCCTACCTTGTCACAACACAACTGATTGGCTCAAACGCATTAAGAAGGAAAGAAATTCCACAAATTAACTTTTAACAAGGCACACCTGTTAATTGAAATGCATTCCAGGTGACTAGCTCATGAAGCTGGTTGAGAAAATGCCAAGAGTGTGCGAAGCTGTCATCAAGGCAAAGGGTGGCTATTTGATTTGTTTAACACTTTTTTGTTTACTACATGATTCCATATGTGTTACTTCATAGTTTTGATGTCTTCACTATTATTCTACAATGTAAAAATAAAGAAAAACCATTGAATGAGTAGGTGTGTCCAAACTTTGGACTGGTAATGTATATACAGTGTATGTGTGTGTGTGTGTGTATGTGTGTGTATATATATATATATGTATGTTATTCTACTGCTTTAGGTTATAATTATTGTTTGGATAACCTTATTTACTATTATGTATCGATTTTTACCTTTAATCTTTTCACTCTTTTTTGCATTGCGCACTGCAGAGAACACTGGAAGAAGAATTGTCACTGAATTTACCACAGTGAATTATTGTAATGTTTGTTTGTGTCAATCCCATAATGGATGGGTTGCCAATTGGCGATTTGACAAGATTCTTTTTTTTTTCTTTTCATAAAAAAAAAGAAACAAATGTCATTCATTAATTTAGGTCATTACAGTATAGTGAGAAATTTGTTTGGAACATTGAATCGCAATAAAATTGCAGTATCGAATTGCAATACATATAGAATCGTGATAAATTGTGAAACATATAGAAGCGCAATACATATTGTATCGGCACTCAACTATCGCGATATCGTAAGGTCCCTGGCAATTCCCAGCCATAGTGGATACGTTGTCTAATTTAGCATGAGCGCAAGACCAACAGATTGGGAGTGTGTAAGTTATAGACAAAAAGGTTATGAGTAAGCCGGTGTACATGCATGACAGAACCAGACTTTATTTCAGAGTTAGTGAGGGTGTGAGGAGAGAGAGAGTGTCAGCAAGAGGTGTGCTGTGATTTGAAAAGGCAGGGCTTGGGAGCTGGGAGGTAGATTATATCATAGCAGATTCCAGACAGGCTGAGAGTGGAGCAGGTGTTACTGATTGTGTTACTGCCACAAAGAGAGGAGGACAGCACACACAACACCATATAGCGTATAACACCATCTAGCACACAACACGGGACAATACAGAACACCACATAGCGTACAACACCACACAACACAGCTCAGCACAGCAGGATCACCCTGAAGAATTCTCTGCTTGGACCTGGAACGCCATGGGAAAGATCAAAGCCCGGAGACAAACTCACCTGTATCTGTTCTTCCAGGTGGCTGGAGAATACAAGTATCACCCAGAGTGCTTTGTATGTCTGAGCTGCAAGGTGGTCATCGAGGACAGAGACACCTACGCCTTGGTGGAGCGATCCAAACTGTACTGGTGAGGGTTGTTTTACTGTTTACTATCTACTGCTCACAGAGTTGTTGGTTTTATTTGTTTAGATTCTGAATTCTGTTTGTAAGTATGGTGTTAAGTCAGATGTTGATAGAGGCAGTTTAGGGAATGTGATGTTTGTTATTGCAAACAGGCAACATCACTCTTTCTGATTGATCATTTAGGAATCTGGTGCGTCTGTCATACCTGAGCCCCTCTACTGTCTGACTCTCCATACCCCTCCTTTCTGCTCTCTCCTTCTCTTCATATTTTTCTCCAATAAAACTTTATTGTTCCCAAAGGGAAATGATTTTGCAGCAAAGTACTAACAGATGTAGGTAAAGGAAGTTGGAAGGAAGTAGAACACTTTGATGTTTAAACACTGATGTGAATACTTTCAACTGGTAAGACCTTAAAAAACATAATCATTATCCAGAACAATACCCCTTATTCCTTGTTTCTTCTCTCCTCCTCTCGTGCAGTGGGAAGTGCTATAAGCAAGTAGTCCTGGCGCCCGTGTTGGAGAAGCGTTCGGCCGATTCGGCCCTGGATTCCCTGCCCCACACGGTCACCCTCATCTCAATGCCCTCTGCCACCAACAGCAAGAGGGGCTTCTCTGTCTCTGTCCTAAGAGACGTTGCCAGCGGCTCCGCTAGCGTGCAAGTCAAAGAGTGAGTGGATTTAACTGTCACTCACAACTAGTGAATCTGTACACCCTTGACTGTCTAGGCCTGAGTGGGATGAGTCATGTGTTGTGTAACTGATTATAGATTTGCTGAAATAATAGGCCATTAGTCCTTGATATAGATGTTTGTACATAACCAATAAGACTATGTAACCTGGATTTAATAGTTAAATCCCACATCTCTTTACTTTGGTGGTGTTATTATAGTCTTGATCCAGGTCAGCCAAGGAGTCTCTCGTTAGCTGATAGATGTACTTGATGTTGTGGACAGACACACACCCACCTCTGTATTGTCCAGGTGCTCACTGCTGATTGGTCAACAGAACCAGCTCTCCTCTGACAGACCTAAATGGAGTCTGGTCATAGTTCATTCTGATACTGGTGCTCCAGACTGACATGTCTATACAGTGAGGGGAAAAAAGTATTTGATCCCCTGCTGATTTCGTACGTTTGCCCACTGACAAAGAAATTATCAGTCTATAATTTTAATGGTAGGTTTATTTGAACAGTCAAAGACAGAATAACAACAACAAACATCCAGAAAAACGCATGTCAAAAATGTTATAAATTGATTTGCATTTTAATGAGGGAAATAAGTATTTGACCCCCTCTCAATCAGAAAGATTTCTGGCTCCCAGGTGTCTTTTATACAGGTAACGAGCTGAGATTAGGAGCACACTCTTAAAGGGAGTGCTCCTAATCTCAGCTTGTTACCTGTATAAAAGACACCTGTCCACAGAAGCAATCAATCAATCAGATTCCAAACTCTCCAACATGGCCAAGACCAAAGAGCTTTCCAAGGATGTCAGGGACAAGATTGTAGACCTACACAAGGCAGGAATGGGCTACAAGACCATCGCCAAGCAGCTTGGTGAGAAGGTGACAACAGTTGGTGCGATTATTCGCAAATGGAAGAAACACAAAAGACCTGTCAATCTCCCTCGGCCTGGGGCTCCATGCAAGATCTCACCTCATGGAGTTGCAATGATCATGAGAACGGTGAGGAATCAGCCCAGAACTACACGGGAGGATCTTGTCAATGATCTCAAGGCAGCTGGGACCATAGTCACCAAGAAAACAATTGGTAACACACTACGCCGTGAAGGACTGAAATCCTGCAGCGCCTGCAAGGTCCCCCTTCTTAAGAAAGCACATATACAGGCCCGTCTGAAGTTTGCCAATGAACATCTGAATGATTCAGAGGAGAACTGGGTGAAAGTGTTGTGGTCAGATGAGACCAAAATCGAGCTCTTTGGCATCAACTCAACTCGTCGTGTTTGGAGGAGGAGGAATGCTGCCTATGACCCCAAGAACACCTTCCCCACCGTCAAGCATGGAGGTGGAAACATAATGCTTTGGGGGTGTTTTTCTGCTAAGGGGACAGGACAACTTCACCGCATCAAAGGGACAATGGATGGGGCCATGTACTGTCAAATCTTGGGTGAGAACCTCCTTCCCTCAGCCAGGGCATTGAAAATGGGTCGTGGATGGGTATTCCAGCATGACAATGACCCAAAACAGACAGCCAAGGCAACAAAGGAGTGGCTCAAGAAGAAGCACATTAAGGTCCTGGAGTGGTCTAGCCAGTCTCCAGACCTTAATCCCATAGAAAATCTGTGGAGGGAGCTGAAGGTTCGAGTTGCCAAACGTCACACTCGAAACCTTAATGACTTGGAGAAGATCTGCAAAGAGGAGTGGGACAAAATCCCTCCTGAGATGTGCGCAAACCTGGTGGCCAACTACAAGAAACGTCTGACCTCTGTGATTGCCAACAAGGGTTTTGCCACCAAGTACTAAGTCATGTTTTGCAGAGGGGTCAAATACTTATTTCCCTAATTAAAATGCAAATCAATTTATAACATTTTTGACATGCATTTTTCTGGATTTTGTTGTTGTTATTCTGTCTCTCATTGTTCAAATAAACCTACCATTAAAATTAAATACTGATCATGTCTTTGTCAGTGGGCAAACGTACAAAATCAGCAGGGGATCAAATACTTTTTTCCCTCACTGTATGCTGTATTTCTCTCAGGGTCAGAGGAATGCATATCAGCCCGGAAGTTCGGAATGCCATCCATGTTGGTGACAGGATCCTGGAGATCAACGGTCTTCCAGTGGGGACACTGATGGAGGAAGAGGTGAGTTGCATGATCCAGCTTTTCACAATACACTGAATAATAAAGCATTGAAAAAGCAATGAGCTTTAAACATGTAGACTATTCAGTAGTAACCCAGTGGTGTTACTGTTACTCTAAAATAGAAGACGGAACATGTGATCTTTGCATTCCATTCATTCCGCCTTCGTTTAAACATTCTTTAGCTGGGAGAGGATGGCATCTGAAAGGACTCAATCTCACCACACCACCTCACTCAACCATGTGCATTCACTAATTTAATTTTAGTTCCCACCTTTCCTGTTTGCGACAAGGTGCATTCCAATTAAAAGCTTCATTCAAGTCATGTAGTGTAAGTCAATTTGATAGCTCTTCGTGTTATCAGGATCCTGTTCTCATTGGAACCCTGCCTAGTTCTAATTCCATCCCGTGTTCTGTATAGGCCTTATACCAATACCTATCTCATTAGTGTTGCTTGCCCATGTTACTATGTCAGAGAGAACTTTGGCCTAGCAGATTATGTATTCTGATTGATTGGTGTTTCAGGTGGAGGACCTGATTCATCGGACCAGTCAGACGCTGCAGCTGCTCATAGAGTATGATCCAGTCAGGCAGCGGTTGGAGAGGCTTAGACTGGGGTCCTCGCACAACCGCTTGGGGGTCCCCGCCACCTCCCGCATGCGCCTGTCTTTGCCCTCTGACAGTGTCCTGGAGAGGACAGACGTGGTGGATGATGGCACCCTAAAGAGGAGGTCTCTAAGGTACAGCTAAACCAGCCAACCTTGGGAGAGAGAGTCTAAGCATTGGGGCAAAAATTGAGAGATTCAAAGAACTTGATTCAAGTAGAACTTGATCAATGTCTAACTGACCTTTGTTCCTCTCCGTTAATGGAAGGCGTAGCAACAGCATCTGTAAGTCCCCTGGGCCAGCCTCCCCTAAGGAACACCCTATCCTGACCCGGGACATCGGGCGCTCCGAATCCCTGCGCTCCTCCAGCAGCTGCTCTCATCGCATCTTCCGCCCCTGTGACCTCATCCATGGAGAGGTGCTGGGCAAGGGCTTCTTTGGCCAGGCTATCAAGGTCAGCTTTTCACCCAACAATCATCCTCTTTTCCACACACATCTCAATCTGTATTGCCACACCTATTTGCTATAACTTTAACCAAAGCCTAAAGTAGTGCGTGTGTCCACAGGCGTGAAAGGAAGCTAAAGTAATTCCGCTGCCTAAAAATAGTAAAGCACCCTTTGCTGGCTCTTAACAGCTGCCCAATCAGTTTGCTGCCTTTTCTTAGTCAACTGATGGAGAGAATAGTTTGACCAAATACAATGCTATTTTTCAGATAACAAGTTAACTACTGAATTTCAGCATGCATATAGAGAAGGGCACTCAACGTGTACTGCACTGACTCAGATGACAGATGATTGGTTAAAAGTAAAGCTGTCCCAACCTAAAAAAAAATCTTGGTCAACCGAGAGTCGTCTGTTCTTTCGACCAATCGATTGGTCTAAAGTTTAAAACATGTATTTTTCCATATATAGACACACCCTATGTGTGTTTTAATAAAATCAACTATGCACTGTGTTTGTCTGATGCTTTAAGCGCACTGTTTTGATGAAATGATTAAGACACAAATAACTCAAGAGGGAGCCAGAGATCAAGATAGCCTAACCAGAAGAAATTAACCTGTTCCCTCCCCCCCCCCCCCCCCCCCTCCAAACAACGTGTCCACTCCAACAATGGGAACGGTAAATTACTGTAATAATAATATATTGAATGCATTAACAGAAATTACCGTAACCAAACAAACATTGTATATTAGAAATTATGGGAATTAACGGTAAATGTACTACTGGTGATATATGTAATGGTGAATTGATAGACGCAACAATTCACACAATGAAGTTATGAAACAATGAATGCACACGAATTGGCGGGAGAGAGTTCAATCTGGAGAGAGATGCGCCTTGTGCATCTAAGCCACACCCCTTCTTCTTGACTCAACATTTAAAATTATAGGCCTACCCAATACACATTTTCTTCACACATACTGTAGGACTAAGGAATACTCTCACAAACGGTGTCAGGTCCAAAGCAGTAGCCAATTATGGAAAACCAATGCAATTTCACTTATTTTCTCAAATTGCTTGGTGTGCCAAGGCAAATACCCTCTCAGCACACGTGCCTTACGTTGCTGATGCCTGTCTTAGAGTGATGGACTGTGCCATTCCCGCGGCCTCCACAATGGATTAATCCACTGAGATAGGTGTGCCATGGTTGGAGAGTTATCCAATAGAACGCAGAGAGTGTTCTTCATCAGAAGCTTCTCTAACAGCAGATACAGTGCATTCGGAAAGTATTCAGACCCCTTGACTTTTTCCAAATTTTGTTACGTTACAGCCTTATTCTAAAATGAATTAAATAAATAAAAATCCTCATCAATCAACACATAATACCCCATAATGACAAAGTGAAAACAGTTTTTTAGAAATGTATTTTCAAAAATGAACAGAAATACCTTATTTACATAAGTATTCAGACCCTTTGCAATGAGACTCCAAATTGAGCTCAGGTGCATCCTGTTTCCATTGATCATCCTTGAGATGTTTCTACAACTTGATTGGAGTCCACCTGTGGTAAATTCAATTGATTGGACATGATTTGGATATGATTTGGAAAGGCACACAAAAAGGGTACCCAAAAATGTATGCAGCATTGAAGGTCCCCAAGAACACAGTGGCCTCCATCATTCTTAAATGGAAGACGTTTGGAACCACCCACACTCTTCCTAGAGCTGGCCGCCTGGCCAAACTGAACAATCGGGGGAGAAGGGCCTTGGTCAGGGAGGTGACCAAGAACCCGATGGTCACTGACAGAGCTCCAGAGTTCCTCTGTGGAGATGGGAGAACCTTCCAGAAGGACAATCATCTCTGCAGCACTCCACCAATCAGGCCTTTATGGTAGAGTGGCCAGACGGAAGCCACTCCTCACTAAAAGGCACATGACAGCCCGCTTGGAGTTTGCCAAAAGGCACCTAAAGGACTCTGACCATGAGCTTCTCTGGTCTGATGAAACCAAGGTTGAACTCTTTGGCCTGAATGCCAAGCGTCACGTCTGGAGGAAACCAGGCACCGCTCATCACCTGGCCAATACCATCTGTACGGTGAAGCATGGTGGTGGCAGCATCATGCTGTGGGGATGTTTTTCAGCGGCAGGGACTGGGAGACTAGTCAGGAACGAGGTAAAGATGAACGGAGCAAAGTACAGAGAGATCCTTGATGAAAATCTGCTCCAGAGCACTCAGGACCTCAGACTGGGATGAAGGTTCACCTTCCAACAGGACAACGACCCTAAGCACACAGCCAAGACAATGCAGGAGGGGCTTCGGGACAAGTCTCTGAATGTCCTTGAGTGGCCCAGCCAGAGCCTGGACTTGAACCCGATCGAACATCTCTGGAGAGACCTGAAAATAGCTGTGCAGCAACGCTTCCCATCCAACCTGACCGAGCTTGAGAGGATCTGCAGAGAAGAATGGGAGAAACTCCCCAAATACAGGTGTGCCAAGCTTGTAATGTCACACACAAGAAGATTTGAGGCTGTAATAGCTGCCAAAGGTGCTTCAACAAAGTACTGAGTAAAGGGTCTGAATACTTATGTAAATGAGATCTCCGCTTTTTATTTTATAATACACTTGCAAAAAAATCTAAACCTGTTTTTGCTTTGTCATTATGGGGTATTGTGTGTAGATTGATATTTTTTATCCATTTTAGAATAAGGCTGTAACGTAACAAATAGTGGAAAAAGTCAAGGGGTCTGAATACTTTCAGAATGCACTGTATGTACAGTTCGGTGTTGATTTGGGCTGTTGCTCTTCTCTATTTTTCAAATTATTTGCCACTGGTTTTACACAAAGCTAGAATGACTATGTATGCAGATGATTCCACACTCGAGATGTCAGCGCCCAAAGCAAGTGAGCTCACTGAAATTCTAAATAAGGAGTTACAGTCCATATCATAATTGGTGATTTAATAATAAACTGGTCTTAAATGGATCTAAAACTAAAACATTGCATTTGGTTCAAAACATTCTCTAAGACCTAAACCTCAACTGCAGTTGTGCGTAAAGGGTGTTGAGGAAGCTAAACTCCTAGGTATAACATTGGATGGTCAATTATCATGGTCAAGTCATATTGACGAAGTTGTTGTGCAGATGGGTAGGGGTATGTCTGTTTATAAAAAGATGTTCTGCGTTTTTGACACACAAATCAACTGTACTAGTTGTTCAGGCTCTGGTTTTGTCCCATCTTGATTACTGTCCGGTAGTGTTGCACGGTATACCTGTACTGCGGTAATACCATGGTAGCAAAACGTCATGATACTTGGATACCAACATTTTAGAATACCATAGTATCATTTCATATGATACTACTGACTTTTTCAGCCCTACTGAGCTAAAGAACCTGCTGGCACCTGTTATAAAATGTTTATAAAGTCAGTTTTGTATATACATTCAGTTGAATTTAAGCAACAGCCACTAGTCTCTTGTATGCACAGGTCCAATAATATCCACTTAACTTTAATGCACATATCACGTGTGGCAGCTGTAATCAGCCAGCTGCATCCCTTATCAGCATGTGTTTGATGCCATTCCATTTGCGCCGTTCCAGCCATTATTATGAGCCATCCTCCCTTCAGCAGCCTCCACTGATGTATATTCCTTCCTCCCATTCCTCCAACCAAATCACAGGTAGGCCTTTGCAAATATGAGAAAATCAGCCATTCTATGCAGTATTCCATTATACACTGAACAGAAGTGCGAATTTCAGTGACCAGGTTTTTGGAGAACGTTTAGAAAACGTGAACAAGCGTCTGGGGGACGGGGCGAACAGGATGCTAGGCCACAGTTTTTTTTTTTTACCGTAGTATCGCAACACTACTTGGTATTGTGATACTTGGCCTGGTATTGTATCGTTTGTAAAATATTGGTATCGTGACAAGCCTACTGTCCAGTAATATGGTCAAGTGCAGCAAAGAAAGATATAGCAAAGCTGCAGCTGGCTGAAAACAGAGCAGCACGCCTTGCCCTTACTGCACATATACAACTAATATCAACAACATGCATGGCAGTCTTTCCTGGTTGAGGGTTGAAATGAGATTAACTGCATCTCTTCTTTTTCTGAGAAATATTACTGTGATGAAAATTCCAGATTGTCTGCATAATCAAATAACATTCAAACACAGTATTATACAAAGCCATGATCGCATGGAAGTCCCATCTCCAATTACTCAAGCAAACAGCTAAATGACCTTTAAAAAATGGATTAAACAACATCTAATGGAACGGCGGGGACTGTGAGGGGACAAACGCACACACAGACACACTCTAACACATACATTTTTTGTTGTATTGTTTGTATATCATTGTATTTTAAATTTGTGTGAATGTCCTTGTCTGTCAGTGGGTGTTCTCTTGTCATGTTTTTTTTTTTTTTGTGGAACCCAGGAGTTGCTGCTGCTTCTGAAAAAGCTAATAGGGATCCAAAAAAACAAATCTCTCACATCCACTCCATGCCTCCACATCTACACAGATGTCAGTGTTTTGTTTTTCTCCACATTGACAGGTGACCCACAAAGCCACTGGTGAGGTGATGGTGATGAAGGAGCTGATTCGCTGTGATGAGGAGACCCAGAAGACCTTTCTAAAGGAGGTCAGTAGTCTAATCTGGTTATACATTGGGCTATGATTTATTATACCCATAAATGAGAGCTTGCCAAATGTCACTATTTGCTACATAGATGGATTGCTTTAGGACAACCTTATTATTTTTGTATGCACTTGCTCCAGTCCTCCGAGGGAAAAATAAGCTTGTGATTTTTTGCAAAGATAAAATACCTCCAATGTGGAAACTGATTGCTGTGGTGATAAACACTATGAAATTGTGAAAATGATGTGAATGCCCTTTTTGTGTAAGAGCTGTTTGGAGAAGAAAGAAAAGTGGAATTTCGGCATGTTCTGGTGGGATGGAACTTTTGACCCACATCAAGATGTCACAATGTGATCTGATTATAATAGGCCAATACCTGTACATTTGGGTAAGGGGGTGGGCTCTAGACCATCCTATCAGCCAATCAGGGATGTGTATGTAAATATCTTCACATTTCTTTCTTAACGCCCACACGATCAGACTGAGCATTTCAAGGGCTCAGTCTGATTCAAAAATCATACTGGGATGAAAACATACCTCTCTTTCTCTCCAGGTCAAAGTGATGAGGAGTCTGGAACATCCCCACGTGTTGAAGTTCATCGGTGTGCTATATAAGGACAAGAGGCTGAATTTAATAACCGAGTTTATCGAGGGAGGCACACTGAAGGATTTCATTAGAGACATGGTGTGTTTCAACTAGTTAATTAACTTAACTGTCTCTTTATGCTCTCCCACTGCTCCAAAATAGCATTTGGTAGCCTTGGGTCTACTGTTAGTGTTTTCTTTAAAGGAGAAGTTATTTTTTACAACCAAATCTAAATATTTATGTAAATAGCATGTTATAGAAGGGACAAGACACATTTTTGGTGATTTCACGTTTTTTTTAATTATTTTATTTATTTATTTTTTTACAGCTAATCACTTCCTCATCCTCTTTGTGCAATATAGGGGCCTGGAAAAAACATGAACATAGGCTCCAAAAACATTTGATTTTAGAGTTTCAGTCGTGGATTACAGTATATGATTTTGTATAACTTTCTTTTGAACTCCCACAATATTTTGTGTAGCCATAAAGGATAGTCGGGGCCACCTATTTAAATATATATATATTTATTCTCTGGGTTGTTACAGGACCAGTTTCCATGGGAGCAGAGGGTCAGCTTCGCTAAAGGTATTGCTTCTGGAATGGTGAGTTGGCCCCTTCCAGGGATATTTACCATTGGCGGTAAAACACTGTATAGACACTGGCTGCTTTTTGTTCAGATGGATTAGCCTCCAATATGTATGGTGGTAGTTTAACACAATGCATTTAAAGGTACAGTACCTGAAGCGTTTTTCCAAAATGCTATGTATCCATTTTCAGAAATGTTGGTAAACTAGCTTTTATTGTTTTAAAGATCTTATGAAAGAGATTGGTGTGTTTTTCCCCCCACATTTTGTTGTTACAACTTGAATTCAAAATGGATTCAATAAAACATTTTTATCCCCAATCTACCCACAATACCCCATACTGACAGTGAAAACATGTTTTAGAAATGTTAGCAAATTTATTGTAAATTAAATACAGAAATCTCATTTACATAAGTATTCACACCCCTGTTAGAATCAACTTAGAATCACATTATGTTCCAGCCCCTTGACCATCCGCTCAAGAAAAAAATTGGCCCGTGGCTGAATCTAGTTGATGATCCCTGCTCTATAGGCTTCCTTCTTTTCACTCTGTCTTTTAGGTTAGTATTGTGGAGTAACTACAATGTTGTTGATCCAGAATCAGTTTTCTCTTGTCACAGTCATTAAACTCTGTAACTGTTTTAAAGTCACCATTGGCCTCATGGTGAAATCCCTGAGCGCTTTCCTTCCTCTCCGACAACTGAGTTGGGAAGGACACCTGTATCTTTGTAGTGACTGGGTGTATTGATACACCATCCAAAGTGTAATTAGTAACGTCACCATGCTCAAAGGGATATTCAATGTCTGCTTTTTTATCATTACCCATCTACCAATAGGTGCCCTTCTTTGCGAGGCATTGGAAAACCTCCCTGGTCTTTGTGGTTGAATCTCGTATTTGAAATGCACTGCTCGACTGAGGGACCTTACAGATAATTGTGTGGGGTACAGAGATGAGGTAGTCATTCAAAAATCATGTTAAACACTTGTTGCACATAGAGTCCACGCAACTATTATTTGACTTGTTAAGCAAATTTGTACTCCTGAACTTATCTAGGCTTGCCATAACAAATGGGTTGAATACTTAGAGACATTTTAGCTTTCATTTTTTATTAATAAAACATTTCTATAAACATAATTCCATATGACATTATGGGGTCTTGTGTGTAGGCCAGTGACACAACATCTCAATTTAATACATTTTAAATTCCGGCTGCAACACAACAAAATGTGGAAAAAGTCAAGGGGTGTGAATACTTTCTGAAGGCACAGTATTTGTTTGAAATCTAGCACTTGACGGTTTCATTTAAGAGACAAATAATCATGTTTTGTTGCAAAATGCTATATCCACCTCACTCTGAGAAAAAAGTATCACTACTAGATTTATCACAGTCAAATGTGACAAATAATTACATATGTAATAAAGAACTATGCAAATGATACATTTGTGACATCAATATTTTCAAATCTGCCTACTTGAGGCAGGGATTGCCCTTGCTCATGGGTCATACAGGAGTGGTTGGGCCTGGGCAGTGACTTAGCCATATGTTCCAGAGACCTTACTGTATTTCTTAGCCAACAGAGTGGCAGGCCTGCACATTTCCCTGGAGACCAGCTCAATGCTGACAGTAATCCTGATTCCCTTTCCTTTTCCACAGTCCCACCACAGAAACACAACTATGTGGGGCAACAAAAACATATTTATATTTTCCCACTTAAGACATTGTCAAATGATGAGGTTTCTGTCTCTAATATGGAGGGTTTGCTTCCCCTTGTGGATGATTGGTTTGTTTGACTCATCATCTTTCTTTATTTCAGGCCTACTTGCATTCAATGAGCATCATCCATAGAGATCTTAACTCTCACAACTGCCTGGTGAAACTGGTAGGTGACCTGTTCTGAATTGTACATGGCATGCTAACTCAGAGATGGATAGGTAGAGGAGAATATAGAGGAGCAGAGATCCCTTTCAATTGTCCTGATTCATATACAGAAACACATACAGATACTACTCCAGCCTCATTATTTCAAATTAATCATAAAGTCATTGTTTCTCTCTTATACCAAAGTGTGTTTGGCTCCTAAACTGTTAAAGCTAGATGTACCTTGGGTACTGTAGGTTATTGTTTCAGATGAGCCTGGAGCATGTTTTGTTGTTGTGACAGGAGTCTGTTACTGAGCCATGGCAGTCTTGTCGGTACAGGCCAGGGTCAGGTAGAGCTATGTTCTATTGTAGCAGCAGAACACAATTTACAACACGATGCCCCGTGTAGCTCAGTTGGTAGAGCATGGCGCTTGCAACGCCAGGGTTGTGGGTTCGTTTCCCACGGGGGGCCAGTATGAAAATGTATGCACTCACTAACTGTAAGTCGCTCTGGATAAGAGCGTCTGCTAAATGACTCAAATGTAACAACATGTTGTGTAAGTAGTAAGGTACAGGCTTATATACAGTGGGGAGAACAAGTATTTGATACACTGCCGATTTTGCAGGTTTTCCTACTTACAAAGCATGTAGAGGTCTGTAATTTTTATCATAGGTACACTTCAACTGTGAGAGACGGAATCTAAAAAAAAAATCCAGAAAATCACAATGTATGATTTTTAAGTAATTAATTTGCATTTTATTGCATGACATAAGTATTTGATCACCTACCAACCAGTAAGAATTCCGGCTCTCACAGACCTGTTAGTTTTTCTTTAAGAAGCCCTCCTGTTCTCCACTCATTACCTGTATTAACTGCACCTGTTTGAACTCGTTACCTGTATAAAAGACACCTGTCCACACACTCAATCAAACAGACCCAACCTCTCCACAATGGCCAAGACCAGAGAGCTGTGTAAGGACATTAGGGATAAAATTGTAGACCTGCACAAGGCTGGGATGGGCTTACAGGACAATAGGCAAGCAGCTTGGTGAGTAGGCAACAACTGTTGGCACAATTATTAGAAAATGGAAGAAGTTCAAGGTGACGGTCAATCACCCTCGGTCTGGGGCTCCATGCAAGATCTCACCTCGTGGGGCATCTATGATCATGAGGAAGGTGAGGGATCAGCCCAGAACTACACGGCAGGACCTGGTCAATGACCTGAAGAGAGCTGGGACCACAGTCTCAAAGAAAACCATTAGTAACACACTATGGCGTCATGGATTAAAATCCTGCAGCGCACGCAAGGTCCCCCTGCTCAAGCCAGCGCATGTCCAGGCCCATCTGAAGTTTGCCAATGACCATCTGGATGATCCAGAGGAGGAATGGGAGAAGGTCATGTGGTCTGATGAGACAAAAATAGAACCACTCGCCGTGTTTGGAGGAAGAAGAAGGATGAGTACAACCCCAAGAACACCATCCCAACCGTGAAGCATAGAGGTGGAAATATCATTCTTTGGGGATGCTTTTCTGCAAAGGGGACAGGACGACTGCACCGTATTGAGGGGAGGATGGATGGGGCCATGTATCGCGAGATCTTGGCCAACAACCTCCTTCCCTCAGTAAGAGCATTGAAGATGGGTCGTGGCTGGGTCTTCCAGCATGACAACGACCCGAAACACACAGCCAGGGCAACTAAGGAGTGGCTCCGTAAGAAGCATCTCAAGGTCCTGGAGTGGCCTAGCCAGTCTCCAGACCTGAACCCAATAGAACATCTTTGGAGGGAGCTGAAAGTCCGTATTGCCCAGCGACAGCCCCGAAACCTGAAGGATCTGGAGTAGGTCTGTATGGAGGAGTGGGCCAAAATCCCTGCTGCAGTGTGTGCAAACCTGGTCAAGACCTACAGGAAACGTATGATCTCTGTAATTGCAAACAAAGGTTTATGCACCAAATATTAAGTTCTGCTTTTCTGATGTATCAAATACTTATGTCATGCAATAAAATGCAAATTAATTACTTAAAAATCATACAATGTGATTTTCTGGATTTTTGTTTTAGATTCCATCTCTCATAGTTGAAGTGTACCTATGATAATAATTACAGACCTCTACATGCTTTGTAAGTAGGAAAACCTGCAAAATTGGCAGTGTATCAAATACTTGTTCTCCCCACTGTAGGTCTTCACAGATCTTTCACTGTATGGCAACACTCAATGAGGTGTATTGAGTTTTGTCTGTTATTTCCATTGTAGTGACATCTGTATAATTGTCTCAGTTCAGTGTCATTATATACAGGAAGACAACACTCATTGTTTACATTTGATACACATTTCTGGTCATACTGCATTGTGATTTTTTAGATTTGTCAATGACTTTACAAACAACAAGCAAAATCCATTGGGAACAATCTTATATTTTGTTGTTATTTGACCCATATTGATTGAGGTATGAACAAAACACCTACCATTATTACATTGCTCTTGACCTCTAACCCCTGACCTCCCTCAGGACAACACAGTGGTGGTGGCAGACTTCGGCCTATCCCGGCTCATGGTGGAGGAGAAGGTCAAGCACCCTCCCCCTGAGAAACTGGCCAATAAGAAGAGAGTGTTCAGGCGCATTGACCGTAAGAAGCGCTACACTGTGGTGGGGAACCCCTACTGGATGGCTCCAGAGATGCTGAACGGTGAGCAGAGCAGGAGGACCCAGCATGGAGCTGTGGATCACACGGATCATTCACTTCAACACATCTTTATTCATTCTATGCCGGTCTGTTAATTAACTTTCCATTTTGTCATCCTCAGGTAAACGCTATGATGAAAAGGTGGACATTTTCTCCTTTGGGATTGTGCTTTGTGAGGTAAGAATGCAATTTTAAAGCCTTGCTTTTTATATTGACCGTATTAGGCTATGAGCTGTATGTTGAAATTATGAATACATTTTGTGCTTCAAAGTTAGGCTAATATAGCTTCAGTATCATTTAATCAGTTTGATTTGTCCACAGTGTTAGTCAGATACTGTAATCTGGAGTGTGGATCCATTCTTAACTCTCTCTGTTGTAGATTATTGGGCAGGTGAATGCCGACCCAGAGTGCCTTCCAAGGACCTATGACTTTGGCCTCAATGTAGACAAGTTCATGGAGAAGTTTCTCCCTGATGACTGCCCACAAGCTTTCTTCGCATTGGCTGTGGCTTGTTGTGACCTCATCCCTGAAAACCGGTGAGTTGAGCCTATTTTTTAATACAGTATCTGATGAGGGAAGAAACAAGACAGAAGGAGAACACAGTGGGAGAGAAAGCGCAGTGTTTGTAACTGAGCTGAAAGGCCACATGTGGGAAAGTTCTCCCCCTCCTCCCCATGAGACGATATACAGGCTATTCTCTGCCCTCTAGAGCCACAAAAGCCAGCGGAAAAACCAAATACCCCTCAGATTTAGATAGCATCTGTCTCAGCCTGCCTTCCCAGGGACACGCCTTCACAGCCAGATTGCTCCCTCATGTTCCCTCATCCCGACCTGCCTGCCTAGCTATATTCCTGGTTGTAACCTCTAACCCCCCTGTGTCTCCCCCCCTCCCCAGGCCTGCCTTCCAGAAGCTGGAGGACTGTTTCGAGGCCCTGTGCCTCAACCAGGAGATGGGCATCCCTCTGCCAGCCGAATTGGAAGAGCTGCACCAGAGACTGTGTCAACTCCACCCCCCTAAAGACAGCTCCTCTCCATCCCAGTCCACACCCCCAACGCCAGCACCTCCTGAGGAGCCCAGCCTGGCTGACAACAGCACCTAGCACAGACACTTGTTCCTCTGGATCCCCAAGCCCACCTTCCACGACCACCGTCTGGACTGCTGCACTGGATGAGGGGTGGGGAAGAAAGACCTAACTTGTGCCATTTGGGAACTGGATACCCTGAGCTAGCTGGACAAAAACCCCAAATGCACACACCAGGACATGCAGGGTACACATCTGTTTTTACCATACTACCAGAACCTGTTATGTGGTTCACTGGCTGATTGATGACTGGCTCAGAGTTAACGCAGGGCAGGGTGTGTGGAGTGAAGATTGTTTACCATCAGGAGGACACGTCTAGGGACTAAAACACTCTCTCTGAGGAGGCCAAGTCACATCAGTCAGAGAAATGTGTCAAATGAATGTTATGAGCTCACCAAGCAGGAAAATCCTTGTCAAACAGTGCTCTGAGGCCCTTGATCTTAGAGATAACTTTCAAGCTTCACTGATGGGATCAGATCCACTCTACAACCATTAAGTGTAATCATGTGCACTCATCCTTTAGTCTTTTTTCTCGTTTTTCAAGCGAAGGTCTTTTAAGGGAGTATGCGAGCACACTTATTCGGTTCGCCTAGCCGACTTCAGCTAGCTGCCAACCAAACTAAAGCATGCTGATGCCTTTATTGTCAGTGGATGGTTTATGGGGCATCTACTGACTTCAAGTTACTGTAGAGGGTGGTAATGGTAGTGTATAGATTTTCTTACCATTAACTAAATGTTTTCATTCCACTTTATTAACTCCATATGAATTTGTTTCTGTTCATGTGCAGTCATGGACAGATTAAAATTAAATTGTGATTTGGAGCTGTTGACTGAGTTGGAGTTTGTTATAGGATGAAATGAATACTGTTGTTTTCACATGTAGCTAAGCTAGCACACTTTCAGAACCAGAACGGTACCTGGTGCTTGTTGTTAAAGGCCCAATGCAGCCATTTTATATCAATATCAAATCATTTCTGGGTAACAATTATGTACCTTAATGTAATAGATTTCCATTAAAATGGGCAAAAATAGCTTTTTAGCAAAAAACACTCTCAAGCAAGAATTTTGCTAGGACTGTCTGGGAGTGGTCTGGGTGGGGAGGGGAAAACTAGCTGTTATTGGTAGAGGTTTGGAACTTTTTTAACCAATTTACTGCATGATGTCACCATAGAAAGCTGAAACTCTCACCCATGCAAAACTGCTTATTTAGAAGGTTCTGTTTAGATTGTATTTTCAACCAGCAACTATCAGGAAATAACACTGATCAAATTTTTTCACACTTTTACTGTGTTCGTTTCATCAGCTGTTGTACATAATTATATAAAACACAGGAAAAATCTGAATTTGGACTGCACTGGGTTTTAAGGACCACTCAACACAGCACTTTATGTGCTTCAGAATCTCAGCTGCTGATTAGACACTGAACATGGTGTGTAGTCAACGGAGCTCTGCTCTCAAAGGCATTGTGCAACTTACTAAAAAGTGACTTGTATAAATAAATAAACTGGATTTATATTAATTTTTATGAAGTTTGCTGTAAGAAATGTATATAAATGTATATATGCCTCTATCTGGCAGTTTCTTAGGGGAATCAAGGGTTTATAGATTTTGTTTAGACATTTTGTACAAATGAAGATTAATAAAAACTGGGAGTTCTGTTTGCTAGCATAATCGTTCTATGGTACTGACTTGTACAAATTGTAACCATCATTTACCACCATAGTGTTGAATGAATTTAATGAATTAAACAATACCATTTTGAAAGCAGTTTTTCTTTTCAGTTTTTTTGCCAATATACTGTTAACTTTACAAACAACATTATTATTTACTTCAAAGTGGCATACACCGAAGCCCTCCCCTCCCTTTGTAAATGGAGGTAGATGACCACTAGAGGGTGGTAGTGTATCACTTTTCTCATGGGGTTGGTGCATCTTAGATCGCATCTCTGATAGTCTAATTTAATTCCCAGTGAGCATGACTCATTCATTCTCTTAACAGGAATAGAAGGTTTCAGCTAAATTTAAATTGGGATTGTGCCGCAGAGCATCATGGGGGTTGTATGTGTTGAGATGATCACGTTCTATATAAATGTTTGAACTGAATTTCTGTCTTCCGTCTCATCATTATTGAATTGTTTTTAAAGACGTGGTTATGAAACCCATGAGACGAAACAAAATATCTGTACATACAGTAACTATGTCCGGAAGACGTCGTTTTTTACAAGTAACAAAGTGGTTTAGTTCAATTTTGTTTTAGGTGAGGGATCGCACATTTTTTTTTATGACAAATTTCCTTAATCAAAGTTGAATAAGCCTATCATTATATACTGAACAAAAATATAAAAGCAACATGTAAAGTGTTGGTCCCATGTTTCATGAGCTGAAATAAAAGATCCCAGAAATGTTTCATACGCACAAAAAGCTTATTTATCTTATTTCTCTGCACAAATTTGTTTACATCCCTGTTAGTGAGCATATCTCCTTTGCCAAAATAATCCATCCACCTGACAAGTGTGGCATATCAAGAAGCTAATTAAACAGCATGATCATTACACAGGTGCACCTTGTGCTGGGGACAAAAAAAGGACACTCTATAATGTGCAGTTTTGTCACACAACACAATACCACAGATGTCTCAAGTTTTGAGGAAGCGTGCAATTGGTATGCTGACTGCAGGAATGTCCACCAGAGCTGTTGCCAGATAATTGAATGTTCATTTCTCTACCTTAAACCGCCTCCGACGTCGTTTTAGAGAATTTGGCAGTACGTCCAACCGGCCTCACAACTGCAGACCACATGTAACCACGCCAGCCCAGGACCTCCACATCTGGCTTCTTCACTTGTAGGATGGTCTGAGACCAGCCCCCCGGACAGCTGATGAAACTGTGGGTTTGCACAACCGAAGAATTTCTGCACAAACTGTCAGAAACCGTCTCAGGGAAGCTCATCTGCGTGCTCGTCGTCCTCACCAGGGTCTTGACCTGACTGCAGTTTGGCGTCGTAACTGACTTCAGTGGGCAAATACTCACCTTCAATGGTCACTGGAACGCTGGAGAAGTGTGCTCTTCGCGGTTGATTCCCGGTTTCAGCTGTATCGGGAAGATGGCAGACAGTGCCGTGTGGGCGAGCGGTTTGCTGATGTCAACGTTGTGAACAGAGTGCCCCATGGTGGCGGTGGGGTTTGGTATGGGCAGGCTTAAGCTACGGACAACGAACACAATTGCATTTTATCGATGGCAATTTGAATGCACAGAGATACTGTGATGAGATCTGAGGCCATTATTGTGCCATTCATCCGCCACCATTACCTCATGTTTCAGCATGATAATGCACAGCCCCTTGTCGCAAGGATCTGTACACAATTCCTGGAAGCTAAACATTTCCCAGTTCTTCCATGGCCTGCATACTGACCAGACATTCACCCATTGAGCATGTTTGGGATGCTCTGGATTGACGTGAATGACAGCATGTTCCAGTTCCCGCCAATATACAGCAACTTCGCACAGCCATTGAAGAGGAGGGGGACATAATTCCACAGGCCACAAACAACAGCCTGATCAACTCTATGTGACGCTGCATGAGGCAAATGGTGGTCACACCAGATACTGACTGGTTTTCTGATCCACGCCGCTACCTTTTTTTAAAGGTATCTGTGACCAACCGATGCTTATCTGTATTCCCAGTTATACGAAATCCATAGATTAGGGCCTAATTTATTTATTTCAATTGACTGATTTCTTTATATGAACTGTAACTCAGTAAAATCTTTGAAATTGTTGCATGTTGCGTTTCTATTTTTGTTCAGTGTAGAATATGCATACAATGCATCCTTCAATTGCAACCTCTGCCCAAACATATGGTATAAATATGTTATATTTCACGGGAATATGCATTTACTGTTTCATGAGCGAATTGGAGCAGATGGTGTTAACAAACTATTAGCCTTTTTGTATTTTTGTTTCAATCAAAGCATACTGTATATCCTGCCTAGTGGCACACTCTGTTGAGTTTTGACACAAAAAATAATAATAAGACTATTCAGCTTCAGGTAACCATCCTAAAATCTCATTAGAAATGAAGTGTTCTTGGTGTAACAGTAACGTTATAGGCTTACTATGCTATTATATTCGGTTCTGTTATGTAAAACGCAATTAATCATGTGATCTTGAAGACATTGATTCAGCTTTGATCTAACTTTACTAGATGAGTATGACTATTAGGCATAGGCAACAGATCTTGATGAGATGTCATTTTAATCGATTGAAGCGCCCTTCGTGGTGCTGAAAGGACAGCACCAGGATCTCACAATGATGTTAAAGAAGTTGAACCAACTTCTGGTGCTGAAGGATAGCTGAAGGATATCTCTGCTATTTGTTGGCTATAGCCTAATGTAAAAGCAAATAGATATACACTACATTACCAAAAGTAAAAGTATGTGGACACCTGCTCGTCGAACATCTCATTCCAAATCATGGGCATTAATATGGAGTGGTCCCCCCTTTGCTGCTATAACAGCATCCACTCTTTTGGGAAGGCTTTCCACTAGATGTTGGAACATTGCTGCAGGGACTTGCTTCCATTCAGCCACAAGAGCATGAGTGAGGTCGGGCACTGATTTTGGGCGATTAAGCCTGGCTCGCAGTCGGCGTTCCAATTCATACCAAAGGTGTTCGATGGGGTTGAGGTCAGGGCTCTGTGCAGGCCAGTGAAGTTCTTCCACACTGATCTCGACAAACCATTTCTGTATGGACCTTGCTTTGTGCACGGGGGTGTCCACATACTTTTGTATATACAGTGCATTCGGAAAGTATTCAGACCCCTTGACTTCTTCCAAAGAATATTCAGTTACAGCCTTATTCTAAAATTGATTAAATAAATAAAAATCCTCAGCAATCTACACACAATACCCCATAACGACAAAGTGAAAACAGGTTAAACATTTTTTTTGCAAATGTATTACAAATTACAAACATAAATACCTTATTTACACAAGTATTCAGACCATTTGCCATGAGA